ATAGCCACAAATTCATACGACTTTTGACCTTCTCACCTCCTTCTAATGGTCAGCGTCCGCTCATATCAATCATAGATACAACAAATACAGTATTTTAAAATTCATGATATTGAAACATAATAAAAAACAAAGTATTACTAGGACATTCATAAATTACATTAAACCAGGTTTAATTTGTATTTACAACGTATCAAGCTTTTACACTATTTTTTATTGTGAATACTTGTTTATTATAATAATAATTTATGTATGATTTAAAATATTTATGTATATACCCTCAATTATACTATAGGGAGTAATTTACATTTTAATGGTGATATGTTTTTTACTATTTCTTTTCTTTTAATGTTAGAGATTCCCATATGAACCATTAATGATAAAAGGAAGGGCAGAACCTCCTGGGGTGATTCCTCCACAAGTCTCTATGAGATGATAAGCTTCCACAATGTCAAAACCAAAATATACATATAGGACACACTTAAAATAAATGAGGTTGAAAACTGTAGAGAAATGTGGTGTACACTGTACAACACTATCTCTACATGGAGAAGGGGATTGCTCTTAGGTCCCAAAATCAGTAACAATGTGGAGGAAATCACTCACGTGTTGTCGGTCTGATGAAAAGAGACCGCGCCGAGAAGTCACATCGATGTTGTAGGCGGGGTCTACAGTTTAAAGGAGGCAACTCTCTCGAAATTTACAACAAAACCCCTTTCCCAAAAATACTGCATCAACTCCTTCACTTTCCAAGCAAGATACACAGCAACGCGTTAGAAAAATGCATATAGCGTTTGCGCGCTATTAATACTTCTTTCTATGACGTCACAATATGCGATCGTCACGCGAGATTTCCTGTCGTCATTGTCACTGTTGCTAGCGACAAAGGAAGCTACAGCTTAACTAGACGTGCGAAGGAGATTTATAATTTACTTTTGATAACAATCAACTCAGATTCAGAAATTCTTTCAAGGTACGTTCGATTCAAGTATTTTCATTTTTATACACGAATATAGTTGTTTTTATTCACAGCAATTCATAGGAAGGAGTACTTATTGATCGAACTTGTCTGAAGCGGAGTTACTGATTAACTCGTCAATTGTACCTGTCTAAAGTGGAGCTACTGATTAGCTCGTCAATTGTACCTGTCTAAAGTGGAGCTACTGATTAACTTGTCAATTGTACCTGTCTAAAGTGGAGCTACTGATTAACTTGTCAATTGTACCTGTCTAAAGCGAAGTTAATGCTATACTCATTAATCATACCTGTCTAAAGAGGATTTAATGTTTTACTTCTCACTGTTTAACTCATTAATCATACCTGTCTAAAGAAGAGTTACTGTTTATGCCATTACTCATACCTGTCTAAAGAAGAGTTACTGTTTATGCCATTACTCATACCTGTCTAAAGAAGAGTTACTGTTTATGCCATTACTCATACCTGTCTAAAGAAGAGTTACTGTTTATGCCATTACTCATACCTGTCTAAAGAAGAGTTACTGTTTATGCCATTACTCATACCTGTCTAAAGAAGAGTTACTGTTTATGCCATTACTCATACCTGTCTAAAGAAGAGTTACTGTTTAAGCCATTAATCATACCTGTCTAAAGAAGAGTTACTGTTTAACTCATTAATCATACCTGTCTAAAGAAGAGTTACTGTTTAACTCATTAATCATACCTGTCTAAAGTGGAGTTTATGGAACTACACGTTCCACTGTTGTTTTTTTTTTTTCAAAACTTGAATCTCAGAAATGATTAAAATCGTTCATAACATAATCTGACTGAATGGCCCCTGCCATATTTCTACATTATAATACACGAGCGAGATGAACTCCTTGAATCACACCATCCAGGTGACGGATTGACAAAAAAGACCTGTTTGCCTCCGGGTCATTTTAGCATATTTTGATAATATTGTAATTTGATTTGTCAGTGTGAAATGAAGGTTTGAACTTAACTAAATACACCATCGGGATTGTTTCAGGTTTAGTTTGCAATCTGTTGTAGCTTTGACAACTCGTCTGTCCGTCCGTTTATCTTATGTCCTTCTTTCCGTCTTTCAACATTTTTGCAGTGTTCTTCCTAAATTGATAGGTCATAATGTTCACTGATTTATTTGGCGTCCCACATGGGGTTATCGTTAAATAAAAATATCAATACAAATTTTACCTCATTGTCTTATATGCAATTAGCTTGTCGGCCTTTAGGAACGACTGAGTCGGCGTTTAATTCAAACCGTTGTTTTATGCATATGTATATAGATATATATATATATATATATATCATACACTGTAAANTCGACAATCTCTCCCTGTCAGACCATGTTTATCTAAATAAACCAAGCCTGCCANCGTGTAATCCACACTCGACAGTCTCTCCCTGTCAGACCATGTTTATCTAAATAAACCAAGCCTGCCACCCAACCAAAAAACCCATTTTAGGGAGATAGGAGGTGTACCAGCCCAATGCTTCAAATTTGCCTTGAACACGATCTTCATACATTCAGGAGTTTTACCCCTATACAAGCTATTATTTCCCTTATATTACATGAATTATTTTGAATTTAAACAGTCCATTCCTGAGCTGACCAAAAGCTAGAATGCCTAACAAACTAGCCCCATCACGTCTAACGCTTCCGAAACAACCTCATTGGATTGGTTGGCTATAAACCGCACGTGCTTCTCAGCCTATACGATTGACACGTACCTACAGGACAAATATTTCCCGCTATTCTACGAACCGCGGGAAATTTAAATTATAATCACCCTCTCAGACAGGTAATGAAGCCAAGTTTCCAAACAATCGGAACGCCTCTAATGTTCCAATATATCTTCGAGTTTCCCGTTATCCATCGAAATAACGAGGTTACATTGTATATCTATTGTAGGTCAGGACAACTTAACACTTAAAAGCATATCTAGCGTTCTGACCTCAAACCACGGTTACGTCCCTTTAATACTTGCCGTAGATAAGCGTGGCTAACGGGATTGCTTCGTCAAACCTTGACCGCGCATAGGTAAAAATCTATTGAGTCGCCTTATTACTAGTACCCTTTGCTCAATGATGCTCTTCACAAAACTTGGTTTGAATCCTTCCAATTGTACTGAAGGAAAAGTCTTTTAAACATTTATTGCTGCGTTTCCCCTATTTGGTTATGATCCCTCCGATGGTATAGAAGATGTATCTCAATCTCCCCTATCGTACTCCGCCCCTCTGCCCTTCGTTTATACAGAATTAAGTCCCTTGGCTTTTGCTCAGGGATGCTCCGAAATCCAATGAGTCGTTCATAACTAGTAGCGTTTTAAAGGAAAACTGACGGACGGACGATGGAGGCCACGTTACGACATAAGCTAACTTGAATACCTTTCTGGCAGGTGAGCTAAAAACCAGAACAAAGAAAAAAACATATATTTACATTCATTCGCATCAGCAAAATCAAATTACTACAGTCTCTTCACATCCGGTAAGCACAACACCCAAGCTTCCAAATGATGATGTCTTTCTCTGTATCTGTCCAAACATACGCGTGCGCGAACCTGAGAATTTATCAAATCCTCTGTGACTTTGCTTCTGAGCAAAGTAAATATTTACGAGTAAATAATTTGTACAAAAGTAAAAATTCCCTCCGATAACGAGGCTACCAATTACAATCACTTCCCCTACACATGCCTGACTGACTCTTCATGCTTGCCTGTGTTTACAATGACATCCTTCCAATAGTTGACCTTGACCCCGATGACCTAAATACGACGCTTAGTCGGTCCTGATGCTGCATTGCTGAAGACCTTGTGTGTCACATTTTTGCTGGATTTAAGAAGGGGTCTCAGTTGAAAATATAGAAAGGAACGTTCAAAATTATTGATTTAAGATGCGTGTTAAATTCTTTATAATTAAATACTGAGTTTACATATACAACTACCACGCGCCATACGCCGTTTCCGGGCCTCCGTAGATATTCCTTCTACGCGCACTCACACTAGCACTTCCATACATATTCTATCCGAACAAATTTACGGTTACTACGTGAATTCGACATGCTTCCAGCCATTAAATTGCTTCTAATCCTCTGACAACAGTTATGCAATTAATATACAGTTGTAGTAGCGTGAATTTATCACTTATCTATCAATTGTATACTCCTACATTGGTGGAGGAACTCGACTGGTAACAAGATGGCTCAGTTACTTAGATCGTCCCTTTTGATTTCGGAGGTCCCGGGTTCAAATCGCGTTCCTGCCGTTGCATTTTTTATAACCTGCTAAACTTCGCACCTAAATCATAGAAAAATTACCACGGCAGGTCATATACAACGAAGGTTCTCTCTGCCCTTTTCCCCGCCCCAAAATCCAGCAAAATTAAAAAACTATCATTTTCTGCGAAGTAAAATGTTGTTCGTGGGCTATTAATACTTCTTTCTATGACGTCACCATAGACAGTCGTCACGCGAGATTTCCTGTCGTCATTGTCACTGTTGCTAGCGACGAAGGAAGCTACAGCTTAACGAAGACGTGCGGATTCGAAGGAGATAAACAACTCTGTTTTGATAACTTTCAAATTAGGTACAGGACTTTTTATAGGTATGAACGTGATCCGTGTATTCTCCTTGAATATGAACATATAAAATTGTACCAATTGTTTGGAATACGTACTTGTTCCATCTCTATGTAATGTATTTTTCTACTTATCGATCATACAATACGTGCCTGTCTAAAGTGAAGTTACCGTTTGAAACATTGATCATACATGTTTTAAGTGGAATTACCATTTCTCTCATTAATAAGTCCTGTCTAAAGCGGAGCTTCTATTTTACTCAGCAATCAAACCTGAACAAAACGGACATACCGTTAAACTCGTCAATTATACCTGTCTAAAGCAGAGTTATAAATACATGTATAAAGCGGACTTACTGCTTAATTCATCAACCATACCTGTCTTAAGCGGGCTAACTGCTTACCCCATAAACCATACCTGTCTAAAGCGGGCTAACTGCTTACCCCATCAATCATACCTGTCTAAAGCGGGCTAACTGCTAACCCCATCAAACATACATGTCTAAAGCGGGCTAACTGCTTACCCCATCAACCATACATGTCTAAAGCGGGCTAACTGCTTACCCCATCAACCATACCCGTCTGAAGCGGGCTAACTGCGTACCCCATCAACCATAACTGTCTAAAGCGGGCTAACTGCTAATCCCATCAAACATACATGCCTACGCGGGCTAACTGCGTACCCCATCAACCATACCTGTCTAAAGCAGGCTAACTGCTTAACTCATCAATAATACCTGTCTTAAGAAGAGTTATAAATGTAGGTTGTTTAACACATCAATCATACTTGTCTAAAGCGGACTTACTGCTTAACTCATCAACCTTACCTTTTTAAAGCGGAATTTGTGTTTAAATCACTCACCTTACTTTCTAAAACTGAGGAACTTCTGAGCTCGATTGGTATAATGTAGCGTTTAATTTCATTTTGCGTTCCATTTTACAGGTTTTGGTTAATAATAAAACGTTCAAATAGGCCCAGCCAGGTACGAAAAATATCTCGAGTCCCCGTCACAACGAAATACGTGTCATGGGCTGAAAACTGTGATTGTAAACGTTGCACATACATGGTCTGTTAGAAAAAAAATCCTGCACGCAAAAGGTTTATCGTCCAATAGTACAAGATTATAAACCAACCAAAAGTGTTGTTGAATCACAGAAGTGGTAGAATGTTCCATGAACGTATAAATACAATTTTACAGACATGATTTTTTTTTTCAGAATCTACAATGGAAGATGAACAACTGCGACAGATTGCACAGCGTTTGGTTAATAACGTCATAGAGAAAGCCGTTGATAAAATAAAATCCGAGAAAAAGGAAATAGACGAAGGTTTTGACCAGGGGGTACATGATATTGTAGGGCTGGCCATTGGACGGTCAATCACTGCCATACGCGAAGGTCAAAGTTCGCCAACTGATGATAAGATGAAGGGATTTACTGGACAATTGGATAAGGAGGTAGACAGCATTGTAGGGCTGACAATTGGACGGTCAATTATGGCCATACGTGAAAGTCACAGTTCACCAACTGACAATAAGATGGAGGGAATGCTTGGCCTAAACAAGATCTTGGTTAACGCAACACCGGAAGTAACAATTGGCGCAACAGGAAGCAAGCCCGTGGAGGAAAGAGACACACAAATTAAGTCATATGTGAAAGGTAAAGAAAAGGATAATCAGCTTCAGATTGTCACCTCCGACCCCGTCAAAGGTAACTTTAAAAAGGAAATAACAATTTCCATGATACCGTATGTGCTATTTCTATCAAATTAGAACTACATAAGTTTTGTAAGAGCAAATGTCATCATCTTAAATTAATATGATAACAAAGTATCTTTATTTATGTTTCGAAATGAATCATTCAATACTGTTTTTGAATTCTCTAATGAACAAATAGGATCGTTTAAACTCAATTATGCTTTTTATGGATAAAAGCATCTCTTCAATCGTAATGGACCATCTAAACACATGTCGGTACATTTTCGTTCGAAACACATTTCTGTAAATTTTCGTTCTAAACACATGTCAGTTAATTTTCGTTCTAAATACATATCTGTAAATTTTCGTTCTAATTACATATCTGTACATTTTCGTTCTAAACACATGTCTGAAAATTTTCGTTCTAAACGCATGTCTGTACATTTTCGTTCTTTGTTGCTTAAGACGACAAACTGGCAGGACTCGAGACAGAGCAGGCGACTGAACATCAGATGAGCAAGACTTCCAGCACGAAGAATGTACTGAAACGATTGATAGACAGGACCCTCAAGGTAAGGTTGCTGTCTTGTTTCTGCAGACAAACAGTTTTATTAGAGTGTTGATCAGTGTCTCGTCATTCTAACAAAAGCTCAAATCTCTTAAGAATTACATTTATCATTTCTGAATAAACATCAAACTCTATCGCCACTACATGCAGTNCTCCAGCACAAAGAATGTACTGAAACGATTGATAGACAGGACCCTCAAGGTAAGTTTACTGTCTTGTTTCTGTAGACAAACAGTTTTATTAGATTGTTGATCAGTGTCTCGTCATTCTAACAAAAGCTCAAATCTCTTGAGAAATACATATATCATTTCTGAATAAACATCAAACTATATCGCCACTACATGCAGTAATTTCACATAAAATCGTCGTTCGATTACATGTGAAACGAAGTTAGAAAGGAGAGTTGAACTTGCTAGCTTCATGATACAAAATAAGTACTCGTAATCAATTCAAATCTTAATTTTCTTATTTTGTTTATGAAAAAGTACAGAGTAACAAAAACTTCCTCGAAAGGTCTACTTACTTTGTAACTTGACAGCATTTAGATTATTTTATTTTAACGTTTTGTTTTAGAGAGACAAGAAAGAGGCGAAGGGCATCAATGCCGCCACAGCTGGTGAGAATATTATTTACTCGACACTCATTTGAAAAAGACATCTTCATTAAAATTAATTGGAAAGATATTCGAGTCTTTCCGACTGATTAAATTCAATCGACAAACCACTCGACGTTTTCCGGCAAAAAAAATAAACTCCTCTGGAAAGGTTCGAATGATCTTCCTACTGACTTATATACAATTGGAAAATCAAAAAGTCCACTCTTGCCTTTTGGAATACAGATTTTTCTTAGCACTTCCTTCTTCTTGCATTGAAAGGTCCGAGTTCAATTTTGATTTAAGACATTTTTTTATCAGACCAACTAGCCGTTTTTGTACTGCCTTTCTTGATAAAACACTTATATTTTTGACGTAAATGTGTCATTTTCAATGTGCAATAGGTGGCAGCACCAGCACCTCAGTCGGGGGAAAGAAGCAGAGTGCATCCAAGGCCCATAACAAGAGAGACTGGATACGTAGAAATCTCCTGTGCTGCTTCGTCAGACAGACTGCCACAGTCGAGCCTCTATTTGAAGAAATACAGCCAGAGAAACAAGTCATAAACATAAATAAGAATAAAGTCTGTTTTGAACACTGTGCCGCAAAATCGGAACACGATGTGATTTGATTTATAATTATAGAAACAATAAGAAAAATAATAGTGAACGATATTGACATCTGCGACGTGACCTTTACCTCAGCTAGAAAGGTCAAGGTTGGGTCAACTACAGCATTTGGCTCAATGTTAAAAATAGCTTTCCTATTTTTGATGATGTCTTGTTTTCACTTTTTCATATTATTTCTTCTTCAAAACGTGTTGATTTTATGAAACGAGAACAACACAGAGTCACTAAGGAGATAACAACTATTTTATATCATTTGTTGGGATGTAAAAATAAATGTTATTCAATCCGTCCATCTGTTTATCTTTTCATTGCCATCAACACCATTGACAGCAAAAACAACAGCACTGGTTTACCAGACCGATGCAGACATCACTGGTTTACCAGACCGAGGCAGACATCACTGGTTAACCAGACCGAGGCAGACATCACTGGTTTACCAGACCGAGGCAGACATCACTCATTTCCGAACATAATGATGATCTGACTTTAATTCATTAAGACTCACCTTACTGAGAACCATTCTAGAGTCGTCATCATCAATGATTAGATATTTTGCAGACATGTTCCGGCTGTGACCATTTCCCCAAATCAAAGAAAAAAATAAAAAATAAATAAAAAAAAACCCCAAAAAACCCACCATATAAATAAATAAATAATAAAAAAAAACATTTCATGAAAAAAACAACTAAAATGATTTTTTATAATCATCAATGTAGATTGCGATTGGTGCAATTCATCTCAATGACTCTAAATAATATGTTTAAATAAAAATAAAAAATGGCATTAGATGATTTGTGATTTCCCGACTGTAACATACATAGACCTATTCATATGACTGATTACGTTATGTCATTGGTTCAAACTGTGATGGTGTCGTTGGTTCTCATCCCCAATACTGCAGGGAACACGCCTCCCTACGTTCTCTACACCGCCTGGAATCTGGTATAGCAAAATTGAAGGCACGCAGCTAGTTATTTGATTGGTTACGAGTAAAAAAACTGATCATTCGCTAGGCTGATTACTTTCCTTTGAAGGTTTCAGAAAAGCTACATCCGACTTAAAAGCCTGATAACGTTATCGCTACGCTGGCGCGCGATTCTTTCGATGTACAACTAGTATATATCATCCGCAAGGTGGCGCATATAGAGCCTCCGATTTTGTCATGTTATATTCAAGGGGTGCAGGGAACGTAAGTTAGCGCAACCAATGAAATTTTGAAGATGTGTTCCAAGAATATCGATGTTAAACAAACAAGTTATTGTCCATGGACCACAGTCCATCTGACTGTGTTACATATCCTATCTTCTTTTCACAGGGGCACATTGTTGTAATTGTACTGTGAAATCATATATGTTCGTGGGGCCCAAATTTCGTAGTTTCCCAAAAAATTACGACTCCTATCTTCTGCACTGCACATACTTGATCCATTATACACGTATTCACATATTTTCTCGTCCATTGAAAGGCCGAAAGGCCATAATAGCGGACGTAAAATCGTCGAAATTCAAACTACATTTTTGTCAGCTTAACGCCGAGTTTATACAACGTTTTGGTCACTCCCTGATGACGATCCCTCGTCTGTTTTATCCACATTGGGTTTGATATCTACCCGACCCAGATCTGCCAGATCACGTGTCCCAACCCATCGGGATGACCGTCATATACGGCTACGTCATCTACAAGACAGGTATCTGAAAGATCACAAGAACGATGTTTCTTGGTTGCCATGTAAGTGGCCAAACCATACGCATTTCGTTTAATATCAAGACATTTTCACGTGCGCGACAGTCTATATGGATTCCTTTCGTTTTAACACGACGTCATCGAGCCGATCAGATAGCTGTTAGAGATATACGTCTCAGTTTTGTTTGTTCCGTGGTGATGGGAGACAGAGTATGTTGCGACTTCGTGGAGAACGCTTCAGTTTGGTTGCGGTAGTAGGGTCATGATTTTTGATGGTATTTGTGTGGAAATCACACCAGTCCTGCAAAGTTGATTATAAACTGCAGCTTATCTTTGCCGGTATATAAAAAGGTCATGTTTAAGCTCTTTGTTTATTATATTTATTGGATGTTCATTTACATTATATGAAGTATATACAAATGAAACTAAATTTGAAGAAGTAAAAAAATATCATTATAAAGACGTGTTCTTACATATACATCTCCCAAATAATCAATGACATTACATTTCAATGATTATCAAATTCATTTTTTCCTTCTCATTTATTAACGAATATTCATTTTTGTGCTGATTTCCTCGTCGGATTTTAAACAATTTTTAAAATGGCAGCGATATTTGATGTAGTCAAGGGATGTATGTGTTTGAGCATGAACACATTTCTTGATCTTAGTAATTGGTTAAAATATCCGGACAGAGATAGTAATGTGATCTATATTGTTTTGAATGTCGATGACACATTCGAACACAATATTTTTGGTACATGTATATGTTTTTCCTTCCACTTTTTTCACATGATGCATACTTTATGCAGTTCAATTTATTTACCTGTGTAATATATTGATTAACCCGTTTACCAAGAAACTCAACAGAAGATAACTTATGACATCTTAAAAAGAAAACGAGTGAAATATTTATGACACTTAAAGTATACCTTTATTGATGTCACATGTATCAAGCGTGTTCACTCAGCTCAAAATATCAATATCACGTTTCGCTTAGGTGATTATATACTAGCGGAAAAAAGAAACTGTGCATGCGGAGAATTGTTATAGAACATGTATTACCAACTATATATACATAAAAAAAATCACACACATGACCGAGTATGACACATACACACTATCCGTGTCTCATTGACAGTTTTTCCCGTGCAGTTTGCTCTCTATAGGCGTTGACCAGTTTGCACGTTTTTCTCGTCCAGCCATCCAATTCGACAATGAAAGTTTATTTTTCAACTGTTGGTTCACTCTGTTGAGACCAGTGAACAGTAAAAACAGAATTATAACGTTTTAATTTGTGATTAATGCTATGCCGAGGCACAATGAAAATGACCCCCTCCGGATTGTTGGTATGCTTGAAGCTGGTATGGGCCAAGCCGTTGTCTCTACACGTTTTCATGTCCATCAAAACACAATCTGGGATTTGTAAAAACGACATCAACAGTTTGGCCACGTCGGCGATCGACCTCGTGCAGGACGTCCACGTGTGACGTCACGTCAACAGGACAACCATATTCGGCTTGTCCATTTGAGAAAACGCTTCCAAACGGCAAGTTTGACTGCACGGACAATCCCTGGGCTGCTACCAATAAGCCCGAGAACTGTACGGAACCGATTGCGTGAACGAGCTATACGTCCGCGACGTCCTGCAATCCGCCCAGTTCTTCTGCCACGTCATCGTGTAGCACGTCTGGACTAGTACAGAAGGCATCTGCGATTTACTCGACGGGATTGGGCAGGCATTTTGTTTACGGACGAATCGCGAGTCCACCTGGATAGTAGTGACGGCCGTTCCAGAGTGTATCGTCGCGTTGGAGAACGTTTCCGTGACGCGTGTGTGGTACAACGACGTTCTTTCGGCGGAGGCAGCGTTATGATTTGGGGCGGCATCACAGCCAACTGGAGAACGCCTCTGGTGGTTGTTAACGGGAATTTGAACGCGCTACCTTACCGTGACGAGATCCTCCGGACCCACGTCGTTCCATTCGTGCAAGGGCAGCAACGTCACATTACGCTACAGCAGGACAACGCCAGGCCACACACAGCTCGTGTCGCTATGGACTTTCTGGCCCAGCAGAACGTTGACGTGTTGCCCTGGCCTGCTGTATCCCCCGATCTGTCGCCCATTGAACACGTCTGGGATGAAATGAAGGGCAGATTACGGGCATTACCCAATCAACCATTGACGTTGGCTGATTTGGCTGCAGCGTTGGTACAGATCTGGAATGCCATCCCACAAGCATTTTTGAACCGTCTGATAGGCTCCATGCGTCGACGTTGCCAGGCTTGCATTCAGGCAAACGGTGGACATACGAGGTATTAACTTTGTGAACTCAGTATTGACCCCTGCTTTGTTTACGTCACTACCGAGCGGAACTTACTGATTCCATAACGTGGAAAATGGCATGCAACTGTTAATAAATAACAAATAAATTGTCCCTGAAAACTTTGTTGTTCTACGTCATACACATTTATTTTTATAACACCTTTAGACATGCACAGTTTCCTTTTTCCGCTAGTATATTATAGCGCAAAGAAATAATTAGGTTGTGATTATTAAGCTCAAGGCAATTATGAGTTGGTGAATATAAAACTCAAGGCAGTTAAGGGGTACGGAAGTCTAGTGGTAGAACGCCGGGTTCGTGACCGAATGGTTGCGGGTTCGAGTCACGGCACGGCACTGTATTGTATATTTGGGTAAGATACTGTGCTCCGCTTGTTCCAGTCTACTCGGCTGTAAATAAGTACGTGGTTGGGCGGTTGAGAAAGATATTGGCTGGTTGCAAAGGCCCTATAACCACGGATAATAAGTTGTGATCCGCTTTGAAACGTCCTTTGGTTTGGTTTAATTTTGTTAAACGTCATATTAACAGCTAAGGTCATTTAAGGACGTGCCTCCATGTGTGTAGTGTATGCGTGCTTGTGTGTGTGTATGAAGGAGACAGGATATGTTGGTGTGATTGAGACGACCCACAAACAAGGTTGTGATAAAGCGGTATATAAGAACCTCGAATTAGTATTATTATTACTCAAAAGAGATAATTGTTTGCTATGAAGATTAAAGCAAATACCGGAAATGATCTTGTGTATTTTGAATAAGACCGGTTTCCTTTATATATGGAAAGAAAAATTAACATTTTGAAGTTTTGGTTGAAGATAAAAAAATACAATAAATTGTGTCTTAAAAGCCTGCTTAGAACAAAGAATTCAGTCGATTGATGAATGGATAATTGATATCAAAACTTAATTAGAAAAATTAGGGTTAGCGTATTTATGGTATGATAGTGAGGGTGAAAATTGTACATTAAAAATAATAGAATATAGATTTAATGATGTGTACAAGCACGAATTGTTATTTAAAATTAGTCAAGTTACACGTGGTAACTTATATCAACATTTATTTGTTAACTTTTATTTACAGTATTATTTATGTAAACCAATTGATTCAGAGTACGAAAAAGTTTATCTAGTATTAGACTATCATCTCATGATCTTAACTTAGAGAAAGGTATACATAGTAGTATTGCGACACACAACAAAATGTGTACATATTGCAATTTAGCTGAAATTGAAGATGAGTTCCATTTTTTACTTAAAT